GTGTGTGTGTGTGTGTGTGCAGACAGTGCCCAGGACAACCTGACCATGTCTCGGGCGGAGGAGTACGGTTGTGCGAGGGATCACTCTGATCTGCCCGAGCCGCAGCTGTCAGTCAGCATCAGTGTTGGGCAGGTAACGCACACGTCTAAACGTTCATCCATTCATTACGTCATCTTCCTTCAGTCCTCTGAAGGGTCCCTCCCTCTCTGCAGTGCATGATGGGTCAGGACATAAAGCTGGTGTTGGATTTCCAGAACCTGGATAAAGTCTCCAGAACCATCAACGCTCACTTGTCCGGGTCGGTCGTCTTCTACACCGGAGTCTCAGCCAGTCAGTTCAAAGACGAGGACTTTGCCGTGACGGTGCCGGCCGAGCAGAGTGAGGGACGCCACGTCCACCTCCACGACCTCTGTGACCTTTCCAGAGACAACCTCTAACAGTGTGTGTGTGTGTGTGTGTGTGTGTGTGTGTGTGTGTTTCAGCGGAGCGTGTGCCGATGAACATCTCGCATCAGGAGTACATGCCTCACCTGGGCTCTCAGCTCTGTATCCACTTTGTTCTGACTGGTCAGGCTGACGACCAATCATTGAGCGTCATCAAGGTGGTCGACCTGCTGACCCCGAAACTCTCCATGGCGGTGAGATGATCACACACACACACTCACACTCACACTCACACTCACACACACACTCTCACACACACACTCTCACACACACACTCACACAAAGTGTGTGAACAAAGATAGAATAATAATAAACATCTTTCTTTTATTATTTATTATTATTCAACACATTTCTCAAAACAAAGTGCTTCACAATTCAAAACTAGAATCAGATAAAAACTAATTAAACACAATAAAAACATTTTTCTTTAAATTTCCACGTTTCGTGTAGTTGATGAAAACAAGTGAACTGTCATGTGAGCAGTTGTCCAGTAGGTGGCAGTATGTGAACTCTCTTTTTTACGTTTTCATTTCTTTAACCTCCTGAAGTTTGACTTTGTGGCAGGAAAGTAGACGTTGTGTGTTTGTGTGTTTGTGTGTCTGTGTGTCTGCAGGTGTCCGGTCATCCTCAGGTGCAGCAGCAGATGTTTGTGACGGTTTCCTTCACCAACTCCTTCAGCTTCCCTCTGAACAACGCCAGGCTGATCATGGAGGGCCCCGGACTCATCGGCGTCAGAACACACCAGTTCAAGTAACACACGGCAACACGTGACACCGAACACGTGGTGATGTGTTGTGTTGTGTTGTGTTGTGTTGTGTTGTGTTGTGTTGTGATGTGTTGTGTTGTGTTGTGTTGTGTTGTGTTGTGTTGTGTTGTGTTGTGTTGTGTTGTGTTGTGTTGTGTTGTGTTTTAATATCTCTGTGTGTTGCAGCGTCATCGAGCCTCAGGCTAATATCTCCTGGACGGAGATGTTCGTACCTCGGCTCAGCGGCCTGCGACGCATCTTTGCGGTGATGGACTGCAAGAGCCTGAATCAGGTGACCTCAACTACTTCCTGTGTTCATGTGAACGGATTTTAAATTAATTAAATGAACGTAAATAAATAAATAAATATATATTTATACACATTATTATTGGGTTTATTTCCGTTGTGTTTTCAGGTGTGGGGACTCGCTGATGTCGTCATCTCAGAGTGAGATGATTGGCTCACAGAATGGTGACCCCGCCCCTCGTCATTTCCACCAATCACAGCAGCTTGAGACGGAGTGGGCGGAGCCAACAACCAGCTCAAGTTATTTTTAATGATTTTCTTTTCTTCATTCAGACGAGTTTAAAACGAATATTAGAAAAACTTTATGAACTTGATTCATGTCCGACGACTCATTTACCTTTTTAATAATGAGATCGAATTAAATTAATTTACATCTGGTTTCAATTCAACATGATTTAATCTGCAGAATTATTAGGTTTAATTCAACATTAAATAATTTACAAACTGGACTTCAAAGTTTTCAGAGAGAATCACAAACCACTTCACCTTCACTCATTAGAAACCAGAGCGAAGCTCCAACACGTTTCAAACTCTCTGCTCTTCATGGAGGAAACATGATTTGATCCTTTTGACTTTAATTCCTTTATTACCTGATGCTCAAACTGTCGACTAACAATAAAGCAAATTCAAAAACCACTGGACGAGTCAATGACTTTTGTTTATCACCAAGACAGAGACACAGACAGACTGAGACACAGACAGACAGAGACACAGACAGAC